TGGTTCCAAAGGGTACATACCCACCAAAACACGCGGCAAATATCGTGGCAGATGTAGGTTTGCCGCACGATTTCAGTCCATTGCAAAGCAAAAGCAGGGGCGGAATCCTTGGTAAATGCTGTTCAAACGCTGTTTTGTCATCTCCACCAAGGTCGTAACAGGGGTCCTAGTCTCATGCAACCGCCTCCCGCAGCCGTGACCATTGCGGAACAGAGGCGCCAGGCAGTTTAGCGAACAACGCAGGTCATGAACATTAACGTTAACACATATAACTCATATAACTCAATCATTGTTTTGTTTGGTGTTCATGTGCTCAGCCACGCGTGCTAAGCCATGTTGATGCAAGCTTTGCGCCGGGAATGCTCCAGGCCAGAGCATCGCTGAATGGTGGCACACAGAAAAGAGAGAGAAATTAAGTCTAGTGTGTCTATCCGATTGCCATTGCCTTAGCCTTTGCTTTAACATTCGGAATTGATTTGGAAAATTGACCAGAGTGGCTTGCACAAGTCTCTGCGGTCTCTACGCAAACACCTTGACAGGTCTCGATCTCGATCACCGCCCAGAGGTGATGCTCGCAGGCCAGCGGAACAGCTCAGCCATGTGTTTTCGGGTTTGAGGTTTCGGTTTGTTACGTTTGAGTCTCAAGAACCGTGCAGCACACAGACCGTCCCAGACCTAGACCGCAAGCCTACAGCCTACAGGCGTGCCCTGCCGTGTGTGAGAGTGTGAGAGACGCGGCCGCTAGCCCAAAGCCCTAAAGCTTAAGCCTCTAGCCCGTAGCCTTCAAGCAGTTCAGTCTGGACAGTCTAGACAGACTACAGTCTAGACGACTTCTGCGTCGTCCAGGCCACCACATATCTTTGATTGGGCTTCGCTGATGATGGCTTCAGTTGGTATGCGCCGCAAAATTGATGGACTGGAGGAACCTTTCGTGCCTCGGCCAGGAATCCGAGCTGTCACATGGCAACCCTAAGTGGCCCCTTGAGCCTTTGAGTGACTGTGGCAATGACTCTAGACTCTAGTCTAGACTGTGTAGAGTCTAGATTAGAAGTTCAGTTCGAAGTTAGAAGTTAGAAGTCAGAAGCATGGAAATGCAGAGTACATGTCTGTTTGTTTTTCACTGGCTGCCCAGGTCATGGCAAGCTCCTGTTCAGGGGCTGGTGCGCCGATGTACGCAGCTCGTGGACTCTTCGGCGCTGGCAGTTGCAGAGAAGTGTGTGGAGCAGAACTGCATGTGCCCTGTCGCCTTGTTTAGGGTTTTCAAAGTCAGAGCGTGAGCACGGGTGTTTGAGGGTTTAGGCAGCCTAGGCAGGTTACCGGCAGGTTACGGCAGGTTTATGGGATCTGGTGCACTCCTGGCCCCAGGTTGCCACTCGACGGTTCTTTATGGAGCAGCACCGGCCGGCGCATATGTTTGGCAACATCGTTGACCAGAACCGTGGTGGCTTCTGCTATCAATGCAAGGGCAACCACACGGCTGCAGAAATTGATTTCCAAGAGGACGAGTGACTAGTGAGGAGTGACTAGACTAGATTGACTAGACTAGTCTGACTAGTGACAGGCCCTTCGTCCAGAATACTGTTTTTGCATTTTGGGTTCGCGTTTTGAGTTCTGTGCTGTTGACAGGATCTCTATGTCTCAGGCTTCCCGTGCAAAAACTACTCATGCGAGAACATGAAGAAGAGACACTTGAAAAAGGTCGAGGATCTGTTCACTCATCCGGATTTCGCGGCATGCCCAGAACTCCAGAATGTGTAGCTGCGTAGCTAGTGCCAGTGTCGGTTTGTCACGAGTCACGGCTGTCACCGCCCCTGACGACGTAACATAACCAACAAAACATAACCACCTCCCAGGTTCAACATGCAATGCCGTTTCTGGAAACCAGCCGCCACATTAGGCAGTTTCGTCCCAGGCCAGCGGGACGTCAGGGGTTGTAATTGACCAGAGGGAAGTACACAGTCAAGAGTCAAAATCGAAAAAGCATGGATTGCGTAGGACTTCGTAGTAGGTTACCTAGGTTCATTATTCATTCATTGATTCATTAATTCATTACAGTTCATTAGTGCTTTCTGGCTGCCCCGGTTGATTGGTTGTCAGACGGTGTCGTGATGAGTGATGAGCTACTCAATCGGTTAGGTCCAGGGACCGAAGCTCACGTATTCCATGTTCGTGGCAGGAACTGCATTTTGGAGAACGTGGCGGGATGCGCGAACGTCCTCTCACAAGTGCCGAAAGACTCCCAGTACAAGGCTGCGGGGCATTGGGGAGTCTTGGTCTTAGGCAGAGTGGGAATGCAGGCGGAAGGGGCGGAAGTCTACTTTAAGTTTAAGGGGCCCTTACCGCGGGGACTAGGATCAGAGCGACGGTCAGGACGATCAGGGTCTAGGCCGTGGCGCTGCTGTCATTGTCAACGTCATGAGTCATGAGTCATTGTCACATCACATTGCCATGTCATATTCTGATCTCAATTTCTGCGCTGCTTGGAGCGGGGCCATGGGTGATGCAGCTCGCAGTTCGGAGTTCGGAGTTAGGAGTTAGGAGCCACTGAAGCCCGGGCCCATTCAGCATGCGCTAGCTTCAGATCGTGATTTCAGGCAGATCTTGCAGTCATTGAAGAGTCTCAGCGCTGAGCACTCACTATTCAGACTATTCACCTCCCATAATGTCAGTAAAACGAAGCAAATCATAGATGACAGTTTGCTACTGAGCCTATTGGGTTGGACATTGCTTCAGACGAGTCACGGGTCATAGTCACACACAAAATTCAGTTCTTCTGAAGTTCTTCTGAAGTTCGTCTGTCCTGTTCTGAACTCTGGGCTAGGCTAGGCAGGCTAGGGAGATGGTAGGCGCGGCAGGCCTTGGGCTTGCAGGCTTGTTGCTGCAGGGCCTTCATGGTCCACGGCGGGGCATCCTCAGTGCTGCGAACGTTGATCAGTCAGATGATGGCCGCGCTGGTTGTGGGCAGGCGCGAGGGCGCAGAGCAGCGCAGGGGGAAGTGGAGCGCGAGCTGCGCAGCAAGCGAGCCAAGCTGGGAAGTCACATGGGCAGGCCAGCCGGCAAAACAGCAGCAGTGTTGAACAGGTCGAGTGCGAGTGCGAGTTGTGCTATTTGGCTATGTGGGTGAAATATGTTGAAATTGAATTGAAATGAAATGTTGAAATTGAAATTGAAATTGGAATACGGAACAAGTGGAATAAGTGCAGTTGAAGGTTGAAACAAGTGTGGAAATATACTGAAGGTGAAGTGAAGGAATGTAAGCGCCAGCGTGAGTCCTCTGTCAGAGTCACGAGTCAGAGCAGTGCCGGCGCAGGCTACGGGAGGCTGCTCGTGTAGAGGCAGCTGTGGAGGACAAGGCAGTCCGGGTTGCTCGATTGGTTTTCGGGTCGGAGAACATGGACACAGCCGGGGCAGCTCGCGACCGGTCCCAGAACGCAGTGCCCCTCGTGTTTGCACTTGGGTACCAACGTATGATACTAATTACTAATACTTATTGTCTGGTGTAGTCACAGTAATAGTAATAGTCATAGTAAAGCAAATAAATAAGCCGGCCCTAGACTGTAGACCGTAGACCGTAGACCGTAGACCCTAAACCCTGGGACTAGGACTGGGACCGACCCTAAGCCCCAAACTGCCCAAAGCCGAGCCTAAACCCTAAATCCTAAACACAAGGACTTTCGGCATGGCAGATGGCAGCGTGGGCGTCTTTGACTTCACGTCTTCAAGAGCCAGGCAGCGTAAGCGAGTGGAGAACGTGGGCTTGGCTTCCCATAGCCTGGCGCAAGCCCGGGAGCTTCAGACCTGGTTGTCCTCCATGAATCCCCTCCACCTTCTGTATGTCACGCAGATGGACGAGACAAACGTTTGGGTATCTCGGTAGAAAATAGATGTCGGTCCAGATTTTGATAACAGATAGTGAGTGTGAGTGTCATAGGTGATAGACATGGACATGGTCCATGGTCACATGGTGACATGGTCACATGGTCCCATGGTCCATGGTGACATGATTCAGACTCATGGTTGTCAATGATTGTCAATGATTGTGACATGACATGGTAGACGGTAGACAGGCGACTGTGCAGTGCATTGCTGCCGCTGGTACTTTTGCATGAAAAAACCAAGCCTCAGCCAAAACAATACCCTGGCCCCTAGTCCGCCTAGTCTAGTCAAGTCCCTAGTGGCAACTCTGCTGGCAGTTTTCGACAAAGTTTTTTGATCTAGGTGCAGTGCCAAGATATGCTGGAGCGAAAGAAGCACGTTGGTGGGCTTGTTCACAAGCCATTGCTTGGGTTTTTGCAGAAGCTGGTTGCGCGGCGCAAGGGCACTCCTGAGGCACCAGCTCACGGGACGGCTGACTCGCTCCAGTATGTCACTGGCCTGCCTCAGTCACCTAGCCGTTTGTAGCCGCTACTACTAAGGTTCAGTCTAAGTTAGTTTACGTCCCGTCTAAGTCGAAGTTCGAAGTAAAGCATGGTAGTTAGGCAGCAGTCAGCCAACGAGGCATGCGTGCACTCTCCTGGACAATGTCTTCCGAAGGCAAACGCCGCGACAGTGTACAGAGCTTTGCAGAGGTGGGCAGTGTGGTCGCCCAACCATACGTGTTCCGAGTTCCTGGGAGGGCAACAGCTCGCGTCGATCATTGGTAAGATACCCTTGATTGTCCAAGTGTGCGTAAGTGATGCGCATCCGAGCAACGATTGCATCAACGCGCTGGAGGAGCAGCGCATGCTTCTAGACAGTCAGGGTGCGGACGAGGCTGATTGTCAGAAACAAATCGCAGCCAGGTTACCTGCGCTGTGCCTGCAGCATCAAGCTTCCCTCGCAAAGAGACCTTCACTCTTGTCCATTCCTGGATTGTGTTCCAGCTTGGTTCGAATGAGCAAAGTGGCGGCAGAGTTAGGCTAAGCACTCTTTATTTCTTGTTTGTTGAATGTCTTCTGCGACTTCTGCTTTTCGATTTTTTATGGAGACGTCGAAACGCCCAAGCAAATCCAGGCCGCGTAATGCAATCCAGCCGATTCCGGGAAGGTTTCCACCGAGCACTTGCAGCAGCTGCTCGCACTGTGGCACGGAACCGGATGGTAGTGCCCCAGCTCCCTCCCAACGTCACGGAACAGGTCAACGCCAACCGTGATTTGCTGTCCATGTGCAACGATGATCTAAATGACATTCGCCGTACTGAGTCAGCGCTTGCTTTCTTCAATGGTGACTGGCAGGGATCTACTATGGTGCACTGGTGCGCTGGGTGCTGCGCGTCGGAGGAGCACTGCGCACAGAACCTTGTGCTGGGATTAGTTCAGTTCAACTAGTTCAGTGTAGGATAGTCGATGTCGATGACTCTGTGATTGCCAAGTGACGGTGGTCGGGGAAGTTCGCTCTAACTGTTTGTTGTGAGTTGTAAGTTGTAAGCAAAGCAAAGTTCTTCTAAGTTCTCAGTTCTAAGCTCAGCACGGGTTCAAAAAAGTTTGCAGCGCAGTCAGACGGCGCAGGAATGCCCAAGAGCACTTGGATTACCTCTTCACATCAATCCCACCAACGCCCTTGCTTTACAGATGGAAGCACTTCGAGGTTTCCGTGGCCTATGCTCTCCGAGCAGCACTTTTCCACAACAGCTTGTTTCAATCCTTGCTGCACGGTGGGGCGTCCTTCTCTGGAACGACAGGAGACGTGGAAGGGATAGAATCCCTTGTCACAGCTGCTATGCTTGATGAGGATGATCCCGACAACAACCCTGGACTTCGCCAGCAGATTCGCCTTGGCAAGACACTGCAGTTCTTTCGGACCGGCCGGGCTACTGCTGCCAGGTTGCATTACAATTTACAATTACAAGTTACAATTGTTCAAAATTCGAAAGGAAGCTAAAACTTTATTAACTGCTGCGCGCTGTCCAGGCTATCTTATCTTCTGATTATCTTCTTATTCTTATCTAAGAAATTGCATGAGTGCAAGACAGCGTAACTTACGGTGACCTATTACGGTGTATGTTATATAATATAACTACACTACTGTACTGTAAGTTTGTAAAAGTAAGTGCAGCGTGTAAGTCAATAATTCGGATTCGGGTTCCTACCGGCTCATCGAGGAGTTGCTGCAACGTGCAATGGTGGTTTCCAAGCCCCTCCGCACATTTGCAGACCGCGTGTCTTTGACAGAGGCACGACAGCTGCAGCAGGAATACTTGGCTGCAGGCCTGCCTCGTTCTGCTACCATTGACGCAGCAGAAGCACACGCTTCAGGAAACAACCCCGAGCGTGTGTCTAGAGAAGCTGTCATTCAGCAAAACTTGGAGATCTTAACTGGTCAGGCTGGTCGAGACGTGGTTTCCGATTACACTGCAATTTTCTTGGCCCCAGTGCAAGACCCTGTGTGGCTCCCCAACATTGCAGGCCAACCCGCCGTTTCTTTTCCTGAGACTGCTCCAATGCTGCTGCTGGCAATGACCGAGAGCTGGCGTCGACTCGTCCTGCCGATGTCAGCGCACCCCTGGACTATGTTTTCTTTTGCGTCCCTGCATGACCTGGCAGACGCAGTGGATTTCCTGGAGGCCAGCGAGAAACTGCAAGAAACATGCCCTGCCTGTTTGCACAGGCCGTTCAGTGCACAGTTGGTGCGTGCGTACAAGACCTGGGGCAGAGATGCCGTTGCAGCTGAAAGGGTCCAAATGGCAGTGCGAGACTTGGCGCTAGTTGTTACAGCGTCCTCGCAGTGTGTGGAGAAGTTTCATGCTGGAGCCCAGGTAGGCCACTATCAGATGCACAGTCATGGCCGCAAGCCAGCTACAGTGCAACGGAGCACGTACATCATGGTAGCGCGCACCTGTCATTCACGGATGCGAGCCAGGGTCGAACGTGCTGTTTTCGGGTGCAATCTGCACAGAGCCCGATGCCTCCTGAAACATCGTGTGGTCGCCCGGTCTTCCACCGCATCGAGTTCCTTGAAGGGAAGCTGTGATGCAACTTCGAAGAAAACCATAAAGTCGGTGCTGAAACGGTCTGGCCCAGGCAAGCTGGTTGCAACCAGCCCATGGCAGGCCTTCCTTGCGTTGCGGAATCGCAGCCGTCCAAACGGGATTTCAACGTCGTTGCAAGACGAATATCATCGGATGATGGGTACAGTTGCTGGAGCAGTGCAGTTGCGTACAAAGGCGCTCGACATGGACCGGGTGAAGTTCAGGCTGGTGCGTTCTGGCTTTCAGCAAGGGCCTGGGCAAGCAGCCGCAGAAGTCCCTGGAGCAGCAATGGGCGGAGTAGGAATCGAAGATCTGGACATGGGTGACCTGCCCCGAGACGACTCAGATGATGTGCTCTCTAGGCAACAGCAGCTGCGGCTCGGGCAGAGGACGCTCGACACCGCGCTTGAAAGGCTGCAAAACCACCCTGCGTGGGAACACGGCCTGTCTGTTCAGGACCATTGAGTTTCCTGCTCAAACCGCAACATGAGAAGGTAATTAGTAAATAGTAATTAGTGAGAATTAGTCAGTCACATAAGTCATAAGAAAGTAACAAGTTATAATAAGTTATAAGTTATAAGTTAAGCAATAAGGAGGGAGCATGACAATGACAAATGATAAATGATAAATGATAATGATAATTTAGGGTTTAGGGTTTAGGGTTTAGGGTTTAGGGTTTAGGGTTTAGGGTTTAGGGTTTAGGGTTTAGGGTTTAGGGTTTAGGGTTTAGGCTAATAGGGTTTAGGGTTCGGTTTAGGCTAATAGGGGCGTTTTCGGCTTGCCGACAAGACTCTCTTTCCCTTGGGTGCGGGAAGCCCGGGAGGGGCCGGGCGGGTTTTCTGGTGCTCATGATGTCGCTGCGGGGAGCCTTGTGGTAGGTTGCCCCCCTTTTAATGGACGGCTGGGATGTTGCAAGGACGCCTTCAGGCAGTTTAGCATGCTGGGATTTAGTAGTACAATGATGACAATGACTCGACAATGGTTGACAATGACAATGATGATTCATGAGTCTCATGCGTCAACAGTCAACACAGTCAACTTATACTTATCCTGATCCTGGATCCTGATCCTTATTCTTATCCTACGTTAGCTGCTAAGCTGCTAAACCCTACCCAGCCTTGCCTAACCGCCAGGATTCCAACACTGCTTTGGCCGCGCGGCATGTGGTCAAGTTTGCCGACAAGGATGCAGCCGCAGTTTGCCAAGCCAGATTTGATCATGCAAATGAGTTGGTCGCGAACCCCAAGCAGTTTCCGCGGCGCTGTCAAACATGCAGTGAGCTGTATGGTGGATTGTGTGCCAGGGCACCATTGACCAGACAAGCCCACATCCTCGTCCAGCAGTTGCACAATGTTTTGCAGCGGCGGCAACTAGATGCTGCAGGGACCTTGCTGGAGCTGTCCTTTTTGCCGGTAGACTTCCAGGGTACAGCGGCAGATGTTGCAGGAGCAGCGTCGACGCATCAGCTGTTTTACATGGGTTCCCTCTTCAAGAAGAAGCCTGTGCGCCACTACTTGGTCGGTTTTGTGCAGCACGCGCAGTCTTCCGAAGCCGAAAGAGTCTGGAACTTGGAGGTCATGGGGCAGTGTGCTCGGGTAGCTACATCCCACCAAGTATTCAGATCTTTGCTTGAGGCTGCGCAGGAAGATCCCACAAAACATTCTGAGCGCTTTTGGGTTCGCTTCTGGCAGCCGGGGGCCTATGACTTCCGGTGCGGTGAGACTGGGAGCGAGGGTTCAGCAAGCTTGGGAAATCATATTTGCGTTACGAGAACTCCTGTTTGGCGTCACTTGCTTGGTGCGGGTTTCAAAGATGCGTCCGAGAAGCGTTGGCGGCGGCTTTCGAGAGGCCGAAAGGAGGCCATGAGGTTTACCTCCTGACTCCTGCCTTTTTGAATTTCTAAGTTACTGTTGTTGTCAATCTCAGATCTCTGTCTAAGTTAACGGCCCTAAGTTACCCTAAGTGATCGGGAACCGCGCAAACCTCCAGGACGTTGCCGAGACTCTCCCATTCGGCCTGACGTTGCAACCCAAGCAGCACGTGACAAAGCTGCCCAAGGATCCAGGCGCAGGTGAGCACCTCACGCACGAGTACAAGCCGGAGCAGCAAGGCCCAGATGAAAATGACGACGACAATGATGCCGATGACGCCGATGACAATGAGTCAAATTTCCAGATGGCTGGCATGCGTACCAACGTGAGCAGCCATGCAAGGCCGCTTGTCTTCGGGCCCTCGCTTCAGTGGGTGAGCCATTGTGAAACTGGCCAAGTGACAAAGTCTTCCAGAGCCTCCTCAGGGCCGAGCACCCCATCCGAGCCGGCCAGCAGCCGAGACATGGCCCACGTCCACAGTCGCAGTCCCACTCCAGCAAGTTCCTCGGCTTCAAGTTCGCATGGTGGCCTCTTGAGCCAGCTACTGAGGGCCCGCGCTGGTCAGGACGAGGATGAGGATCAGGATGCGTCTCTGTCTCAGACTCACAGTCAGACTGAGACGGAGGCGGAGGCGGAGGCAGTCACAGCCAGCCGGGGCAGCACGACCAGCAGAAGAAGAAGACCTTCGGGCGCTGGCGAACAGTCAGCCTCCGCTGAGTCTGTGGACACTTGGGGCGTGGACGCCGTGGATGCCTTGCCGGCAGCCGCTCGGACTGAGCACGCCGCTGTAGAGCGAGTGCTCCTGTCACCAGACGCCCCCATTGATGCCCCTGCCGCCCCTGCCGATGCAGCAACGGCAGAACCGTCCACATCATCATCAACATCGAGACCGAGACCAGCCACAGAATCCCGTGTCGTTGGCTCAGGCTTCAGACGGCCGCTTGGAATATACAATGTGGAGGTTGCGCCACAAGGCAAGGGTCCAACCGCCAAATGCTTCTTTTGCAACGCAGCAATTCCCCGCAGCACAGCACGCTTCCAGTACCAATACGTGGTGAACAAAGTGCCGAGATGGATTCACCCGGAGTGTTGCGCACGCATGCCTGCAGCAGCAAGAGAGGTCTCCCTGAATTTTCTCAGGTCCAGTGCTACCACTGGTCGTGTTGCGTGCGATCACCGGCTGAACACAGCCGTGAACACGGCTATCAGCTTGATCCCGGATCCCCCTGAGTAACCTGGTCCAGAGTCTGGAGTCTAGAGTCTCTTTCAGCTCAGCGTCTGATTCAGAATTCAGAACGTCAGAGAGTCATAATTTCAGAATTCTCAGAAGCTAAGGTAGGTTAGGTTAGAGTTAGAAGTTAGAGTCAGAGTTAGGTAACCGTTAAGTAGTTGGGTTAGACGAGTAGTTCAGGTTCGAGAGTTAGACTTAACTTAGAGACTGAGAGCCAACTTAGAGCCTAGAGCCGAGCGTCTACAGAGTCTTAGAGTTAGAGGCGAGGCTTTGACAGAGGCCTAGGCGGCCTAGGCCTAGAGCCTAGAGCCGAATGCCTACAGCCTAGGGCATAGAGTCGTCCGGAAACGGATCTGCGTAAGCAACATGCGCCCATCAAATAAGCGGTAACTTTTCAGAGTGAAAACAGGTCAATCGTGTCATACCAGTTATTCGGGAGTTATCCGGACTCCATGCAGATAGTACGTGTCAGTAGCTGCCAGTTGGGCCAGCCACGTGCGGCTTTCGTGCACACCCACGGTAACTCCAAACCGCCGGAACCCCAAATTTTACTCACAAAGCCTACGTTGGGTCGATGCCCGAAGCCGTGCTGCGAGTCCTTACAGGCTGCCTAGCCTCATTTTTGCATGGTGCATACGGATCTTAATTCGAAATTAATTCGTGCTGCGGAATATTTTGGGCGGCCTGCTCGACTTCCTTGCAGTTGCAAAACGTCAGGATAACTGTTGAAGTAAACATGTCCCGACCGTCGTATGAAATTTTGAAGCTGGGGCCGCAGCGACTGCAAATGCAAGTAATTGGTAATTATTGTCGGCTGACACTGTACAGTGATTCCGGATTCCCTGATTCTGAGATGACATGCTGCCCCTTTCCAGAACGCGGGCAAAAGCCGATTCCGATTCCTACTGTTCATTCGACAAGCAGCCCTCTGATCGGTAGAGAGAGAGGCTGTGCGAGAGAGAGAGAGAGAGAGAGAGAGAGAGAGACTGAGAGAGAAAGTGAATTCCGACATTCCATCAAAATTTGTTTCCACATCTGCTGCCAGTGTCCATTGGATTTCTTGCTCCGGGGCAAGATGCCAGACGGAGAAGAAGTGGGACTCATGCTGGTACCGGTAGGGGCCCCAAGCGCTGCTTCTGTCCGCTCTTCTACTCTTGAACAATGCGGCAACGCGAGTGAGAGTCAGTGAGAGACTGTGACTGTCACACTCACGGTGTCAGCGTCAGCGTATCACAGCGCTAGCCCGTGGCGCTCTGACACTGAGGGGTACCTTCTCCGGGTACTGCAGCTCAGGACGGAATTGGAGAACAGAACACTGACACTGTCCATGTGAATGTGAATGTGAATCCTGAATTTCCTGAATCATGACATGTGAAGTTCAAGACGTGAAGTCAACAGTGAGTCAGTGACTAGTCCGTGAGTCGCTCAGTGGGCCCGTCAGAGAGAGTCAGAGTCAGAGAGTCAGAGTTCAGTCAGAGTCAGAGAGTCACCCGTGCAGGAGCTCCAGCTTCACCTTGCCTCAGTTACGCACGAGGCTGTATTTCCTCATGTGCCGTTGTGATGACGGACTGGTGAGGGAATCCGACATGGTCTGTGCCTCAGCCTTGCTGCTCTGTCACGGAGAGACGTCAATGAGTCAATGAGTCAATGATGATGAATGATGATGAATGATGATGATTGATGATTGATGATTCTGATTCTTCTTCATGATTCTCAATGATAATCTAATCGATGATAATGAAATAAATAATTAAATTAATTTTAAACCCTAAACCCTAAACCCTAAACCAAAAACCCTAAACCCTAAACCCTAAACCCTAAACCCTAAACCTTAAATAATCATAAAAATCAATAATCATGATAAGATAATGATTCGATTTAATGATGAGATGAGATGATGATGCTGCAATGATGCTGCGATTTCTGAGACTGATCACTACTGATAGTCACTGATAGTGATCCTGGACATTGATGCTTCGAACGAATCAAATCCTCAAAATTAAAACTTCTTGCGATTGCGCCCTTGCTGCGTTCCACAGCTACCTGCTAGCTTTTCCAGGACGCAATGGCGCACCTCGTGCAAACCAGGTTCGCGGATGCGATGCAGGCCGGCAGTTTTGGGCCAGCTTGTGGGATTTTTGATCATTATCAATGTAAGTTGTAAATGTGCTAACTAACGAACGCCAGGCCCATAGGCGGTGTAAGCGTAGGCGGCAAGTAAGCATTGGTCCTCAAACTGAGGGACTTAGAGACTCTTAGAGACTTAGAGAGACTTAGAGAGTCTGAGTCTGAGAGTCACGTACCTTAAAGTCTAGTCTAGTGTCTAGTCTGATATAGTCTATAGTAACGTCTTCGAGACTCAGACTTAGAGTCTTAGATTCTTAGAGTCTGAGAGTCTCAGAGTCGAGTCTGAGAGACGTAGAAGAAGAGTCGAGTCCTTTGAGTCCTGATTCCTGATCTCTTCCTTGGCAGGCTGGCGGAGAGTGTACCGTGTTCGATTTGGACACCTTCGTTGATCGTCGTGCTCCGCGGCTGGACGCGGACATTGTCCATGAGGACCGCGCAGGCAGCAATGAGGACTAGAAAGGCAACAATGAGGACTAGAAACGGGGGGATGTTCGGGTTGTCGGGATGTTGATTCGTGTGACTGTCGCGCACTGCAGACTGTCGCTCTTTTTCAGATCCTGACTCATACTCCGCTTTCACCTTTCACCCTTGCCTTGCCTATCATGATAGGCAGATGATAGGCAGCTGCCAGCAGCTGCCAGGCAGCCTTGCTGGCTGCCAAGCCTAACTCCGTCAGTGCGATTGACTATTGCCAATGGCCTGCCCATTGCCTATTGCCTATTGCCGTACTATTGCCTATTGCCTATTGCCCATTGCCTATTGCCTATTGCCTATTGCCTATTGCCTATTGCCTATTGCCTATTGCCTATTGCCTATTGCTTTGCTTCAGGGACTAAGTCGGATTAAGAATCAGAATATCATTACATTACTAATTTACTAATCATTACTAACTTTTTAATTTATTACAGTATCATAGTCGTGAGTCGTAGTCGTAGTCGTAGCATTAAGGGCAAGGGGTAAAAACTAAAAGCTAAAAGTTTTAAAGTTAAAAGTGAAACTGTTTAGAAGTGAAGTGAATTTAATTTAAGTTCAGTGAGTTGAGTGGCAGCCAGCGCAGCCCTTGTTGAAACAAAGTCTGGGTTAACTCCTGGTGACTCACCGCTGCGTGGCAGTCAATGATGCACAAAAGCCAACTGCATGCATATATGAGTCGAGCTTCTGCTTTATGTGGGTGTGCTGTCGGCTTTCTGTCAAGAACTTGGCGTATGTTGAGTCAGATCAGAAGTCTGAAGTCTGAACCATCCATGGGTCAGCTTCCCCGCTCAAGGCTCAAGGCTCGCAGGGCAACACCCCCCACCCCCCTCACCCCCCTCACCCCCCCCCCCCCACAACCCCCCACACCCCCCCCCCCCACAACCCCCCCCAAACCAACCCAGACCAATCGCAAACCCTTCAGGAACCCTTTGGGAACCCTTTCGGAACCCTTCAGGAACCCTTCGGGAACCCTTCGGGAACCCTTCGGGAGGAACCCTTCGGGAACCCTTCGGGAACCCTTCGGGAACCCTTCGGGAACCCTTCGGGAACCCTTCGGGAACCCTTCGGGAACCCTTCGGGAACCCTTCGGGAACCCTTCGGGAACCCTTCGGGAACCCTTCGGGAACCCTTCGGGAACCCTTCGGGAACCCTTCGGGAACCCTTCGGGGACCCTTCGGGAACCCTTCGGGAACCCTTCGGGAACCCTTCGGGAACCCTTCGGGAACCCTTCGGGAACCCTTCGGGAACCCTTCGGGAACCCTTCGGGAACCCTTCGGGAACCCTTCGGGAACCCTTCGGGAACCCTTCGGGAATTCTTCGGGAACCCTTCGGGAACCCTTCGGGAACCCTTCGGGAACCCTTCGGGAACCCTTCGGGAACCCTTCGGGAACCATTCGGGAACCATTCGGAGACCATTCGGAAACCCGTTAACCTCAAAAGGGGGGGGTCTCGTGTAAGAATTGAGGGATGACCATGGTCCGAACGGCGTTCGAATGGTCCCAATGGTTTATTCGGAGACCATTCGGACTCAAATTGGGACACTATTCGAACGATGGTCATCCCTCAATTCTTACACGAGACCCCCCCCTTTTGAGGTTAACGGGTTTCCGAATGGTCTCCGAATGGTTCCCGAAGGGTTCCCGAAGGGTTCCCGAAGGGTTCCCGAAGGGTTCCCGAAGGGTTCCCGAAGGGTTCCCGAAGGGTTCCCGAAGGGTTCCCGAAGGGTTCCCGAAGGGTTCCCGAAGGGTTCCCGAAGGGTCCCCGAAGGGTTCCCGAAGGGTTCCCGAAGGGTTCCCGAAGGGTTCCCGAAGGGTTCCCGAAGGGTTCCCGAAGGGTTCCCGAAGGGTTCCGGAAGGGTTCTTGAAGGGGTTTGCGATTGATGTGGGAGGGGGTTTGGGGGGGGTTGTGGGGGGTTTGCGGGGGGGGGGGGGGGAGGGGGGGGGGTGGGGGGGGGGGGGGGGGGTGGGTGTGGGTGTCGATCAGTCGATCATCACTGACGACGACGATTCGCGATTCGACGACGATCATTGCATTATTTGCTTTATCAGGCTTTATCTTCGTCATTCATTCTGCATTCTCAACTAAGTTCAACTAACTAAGACTAACTATTTCTTGACTCCTCATTGCATCATTGAGCATTGATTCATTGATCGTTGATCATCATTGAATCATTGAATCAGTGACAATCATTTGAATCATTTGATCACTGATCATTGAGTCAAAGTCAAATCATTGAGTGCCACGTGCAGCCTTGTGCGCAGTGCATGTGTGCCGTGGGCTTTTGGTCTCAAGCACAGAACAAAGACGACTCTGACTCTGACTGCGACTGCAATCCCCGCGTGCCCTGCGTCTTGAGCTTCTCGAAACCATGGCCACTGTGAAGTGCGAGAGTTGTGGGCAGAGTTCGACAGACTTCGAACGAGATCTTCTTCCCGAAGTTTCAGAGTTAGTCCAATGGAGCAAGAAAGGAAAGGATTCCAGCGGCCGACGTGTCGTGCCGGAAGGCACGGAGTGTACTCCGTGCAACAAGGTACGCCAGAACAGCTGGGGCCGAATGGACTTGCAAATGCTGCTCAAACTGCGGACCAAGAACCAGGTGCATGCTTGTCGGCTTCGAGTGCCGAAGTGCAGGGCAGCTCAGATCTAGTCTGAGTCTAGTCCGACTAGTCTGGTCTGTAGGCTGGAGTAGCAGTATACAGTATGGCAGTAACTGTAACAGTACTAGTAGTAGTCAGAATCAGAGTCAGAGTAGTCAGAGTAGTCAGAGTAGTCAGAGTAGTCAGAGTAGTCAGAGTAGTCAGAGTAGTCAGAGTAGTCAGAGTAGTCAGAGTAGTCAGAGTAGAGTAGTCAGAGTAGTCAGAGTAGTCAGTAGTAGTAGTAGAGTAGTAGTAGTAGTAGTAGTAGTAGTAGTAGTAGTAGTAGTAGTAGTAGTAGTAGTAGTAGTAGTAGTAGTAGTAGTAGTAGTAGTAGTAGTAGTAGTAGTAGTAGTAGTAGTAGTAGTGGTAGGAGGAGGAGTGGGGAGGGTCCGGTACAAAAATGGACTTGCAGAGCAGCAGATCAGCAGTGATCTCAGACTTCGAGACTTCGAGCCAAGAACCAGGTGCTTTCGGCTTCGAGTGCTACATAGTGCAGTAGCAGTGTCGTCTCGTGTAGTCGTGTAGTCCGTGTAGCGTAGTGTAGTATAGTGTGTAGTAGCACAGTGCAGTAGTAGGAGTCGGATTCGTCGGAGTATCTACTCGGTCAGTCGTGTAGTAGGACAGTCGTCGGACCAAGACCAGGACTGTCAAGGTCGAACGGCAACGGTCTAGCCGGTGTAGCGGTCTACGGTCTACGGTCTAGACGGTCTAGTGGTCTAACTTGGCTACCTGGCTAGCTAACTGTCTAACTTCTAACTGTCTAACGGTCTAGCTTGTCTGACGGTCTAACTGGCCTAATTGCCTCAACGATTTAAACCCCCTGACAGGAGGCCGACGACACCTTCACGCGCAACCGCAGGGATTGCGTCCGGTCTGAAGGCCAGCACCAGCGCGGTGTTCGTTGCGAGGGTTAGGTACGTCACGTAAATTTCGTCGTTACGTGCTAGAACAACAGTTAAGTGAAGTTGCAGGTTACAGCCACAGCCAAAGTCAAAGTTAAAGTCAAAGTTAAAGACAAAGAGTTAAAGTCAAAGTCAAAGTCACAGTCTTCAAGTCAAAGTCAAAGTTAAAGGCTTCGTGAAATTACTAACAAAGTCAAGTATCCTGCCGGGATCAAGCCCCGAGTCAAGCCAAACAACCTTTAAATTTAAATGGTTGTTAAATTGAACTGCCTAGCCTAGCTGCCAAATTCCTTAATAAATAGCTTGCCTTGCAACAAGCCTGCCCAGAGTCAGGCCGCTACCGCTACCCTAAACACGACTTGTCCGTCTACCAGACCAACGAAGAGTTCGTGGAAGAGTTCAACAACGGCGAATTCATTGAGTTAGAGACATTTCTTCGTGAACACAACGCTCCGCCGTCTCTGGCCAGCTACGAGGCCAAGGCCGAGTTCGTCGCCGGAGCAGCTAGGTCCAGACTGAGAATTGAGAATTGCTGAACTTCTAACTTGTAACTTCTAACTACTAACTTTTGATTTCCTTCTTTCTTATTCTTCTTCTTCTTCTTCTGACTTTTAACGTCTCTTAACATGATCATCTAATTCTAAATTTTAACTCCAACCAGTACTTCTAAACTTCTAGCTTCTGACCCGTTCAGATCAGTTCAGATCAGTTGCAGTTGCTACTACTATGTTATGTTAAGTTAGGTTGAGTTGTTCTGTTACTATTCGCTGCTATTACGGCTAAGGCTAAGACAACTTCGAGTTGAGGTTGTCTCAGTTTCAATTATTTAAGCCCGCTGCGCTGTGCTCCGAGGTGACAGGCGGCGCTGAGATCACGGTGCAAAACGGAAAGGCCGGCGTCCTGATCCTGGATGAACCAGAGGGTCACACCAGAGTGAAGGTGGGCGTTCGCTCAGCAGCTGGCAAGCAGAAGGCGCGGCGCGACTATCTGTCTGTAGACTCTGGCACTTAGTGCCCTTAGTGCCATAGTGCGTTAGTCGGCGTTAGTGCCACTTCGTGCCTAGTACTAGTCCAGTCGTGCATGCTGCCCTGACTCATGACCCCTTGGCAGGTGCAGAAGTGTGACACTGCGCCAGAGATGCAGGCAGCACTTGCCTCCTGCCCGTTGGTAGCAGCCCTTCAGAAGGCCAAGAGCTCGTCTGCCCGCAGGGGCAATCTCGTTCAGGAGGCCTGGAATCGCTTCGGAAGTTATCCTGTTCTCCTGATTCCTGAATCATTGATCATTGACTCATCCTGATCCTGGTCCTCGTGTGTTGTTACACCACAGTTACACAGTTACACAGTTACACAGTTACACAGTTACACAGTTACACATGTACACATGTACACTGTACACAGTTACAGTCACAGTGACACAGCTTCACACATCATACACATTTCATTTCACACTACGCTGGAGACTGGAGACTAGAGACTAGAGGTGTAGTAGTAGCGTCGCGTAGTCTGTAGTGTAGCAGCGTAGTACGAATGACTGGGCAGCAGTGGCAGGACAAAGGTGGTCACGTGGGCCTCGAAGTGGAGGACGCGCTGTCCAGCGGTGCGGAGGAGGATACGCACATGGTGAGCGACGGCAGTGACGACGAGGACGATGATGCGGCGGGCAGCGCCTTCGACTCCACGTTTGGAAACGCTGCTGCCATGCTTGGGGGCAGCGGCAGCAAGGGACCGCGTGGCAAAGGCAATGGCAAGTTGTCTGGCAATCCTGGATCTGCTCCCAGACACAGCGTTGGCGGAATCAAGAAGCCGCCAGGTCCGCTGATGAGCTTGGCCACCAGCGGCCTCAGCGGGTTCCCACCGAAAACATCGGCTCTGAGCCCGCACTCGGCTTCGTTTCCCGGGGGAGGAGGCAGCAAAGCGCCTGCTGCGACGAAGGATGCAAAGGGGAAAGCTCCGTCCGTGGAGGACGAGGCAAAGCCGCCGAAGGAACACAAGGATGTCACGAAGGCGCGCAAGTCCCTGGAGAAGGTGCTCACTGCCGATCAATTGTGGAACGGCCGAGTGCGCGAGAGGCAAGTCTCCAGCATCGTTGCCGCTTGTGGAGCAAGCGCCAGCAAACTCCACTCTATGGGCCACGCCCAGCTCGCGGAGGAGATCAACTCAGCTGCCTCAACCATGGAGACTTGCTACCATCTGTTCACGAAGATCAAGAGCAAGCCTGCGCAAGCCGTTGAGGGGCTCGACGTCGTGGACCTCGAGTTGCTGACGACTTTGGAGATGGGCCTGGTGTACAACATTTTGAGCTTCGTTGCGCAGGAGCTCTTGAAGGGGATGGACAAGGACGAGGATGCCAGGCGAACAAACCTCACGCTGTTGTTCAAGCTGTGCGGCAGCGATGGCCTGAACGAGGACTGCGAGACTTCGACCCTGACCCCGGTATGTCTCACAGCTCAGGTTCTTCTCAGCCCAACCGATGCGACGCGCAGCGCTGCAGCGACACTGCAGCATCAATTGCTTATGATGCTCTTGGAGAAGCTCATGAGGCAGAAGAATGGCAACGAGCGTCTCAACGACGTGATGACCATGTGCGGCGCCCAGTCCAGTGTTTCAAGTTGCTACCCCAAAGCTAGTGAAATCCCAGCAGTAGTCAGTCAGAGTAGTCTCTGTAGGGTAGAGTACGGAGCCCTGCGAGTCTCAGAGAGTGTGAGGGTGAGGGTCGTCTGACAGTCATACTGTCGAGTCGAGTCATACTGGTACTGGTGAAAACTATTATTAATCATCATTGTCATTGTAATTGTAATTATACCGAAATTATGCTGTCAGGGATATGATATGATATGATATGATTCGAAAATTCGATAATATGATTCATGATTTTTATGCATTGTTCTGTTTATGATTCACGATACTATGAGTGGGGGGGCACGGTAGGGGGCTGGGGGGCTGAGAAGAGTGAGAGACTGAGAGTGGCGTAGGTGGAGCGTAGGCCGCGTGCGTCAGAGACTTTAACTTTCCAGACATAAACGTTCTTTTGCAAGGGGGCGGGGGAGGGGGAGGGGGGTAGGGCAGGGCGCTGGCGCTGGCTTTTGCAAGGGGCGGGTAGTAGGACCGGTAGGGGTGCGGTAGGGGCAGGGGTTTAGGCGTGTCAGCCAGTCAGTCACTTTCACAGTCACATCATGTCATTATGTCACAATTATGTCACAATGTCATTATGTCATGACTCATTGTCATGACTCAACATTGACACTTGGCCATGGGCCGTGGGCCATCGCCAGCACAGGAGCCCGGTGCCCCATATCGATCTGAGCTGCAGCATCACAAGCGTTCCACGGCTGTCAACGAACGGCTGGAGTGAGATGGTCATGTTTGACATGACATTCATGGCTACCTTGTGCAAGTCGTGGGAGCCCGTCACGCCCAAGGCAGCCATGGAGGCCGCGACGGCCTTCGCAGCCCGAGGCCGGGTTTCTGGCCGGTTATCAGCTTTGGTCAAGAGTACACCATTGGGCAAGTCTCTCATGGCGAAGCTGAAGACCGCAGCCGACGCTGCAGCTGATCCAGATGCCCTCCGGCGTGATGCTGACCAGACAACCGCGGAGGCCAAGAAGTTACATGCGGAACTCCTCGCGCAGGAGCAAGGTGCAATCTCTTTGAAGCAGCTTCTGCACCAGCATGGGCCTGTCTGTAAGAGGTCGAGCGAGCTGCTGAGCATGGCAGACAAGCTGCCAGGGGCTGTTCCGAATGTCGCGGAAGTGACCGGCGTGATTCAGCAGATCACGAGTGTCATCAACCGCGATGGATGTGTTTTCCTTGCCGATTTTACGCAGAGCTTGGCTGACATTTGGTCCAAGCCCTTGCCGGATGACCTCACAAGCAGCCTGGAGCACTTGTGCTTTGCCCTCGAGCTTGCCAGTACGCAGAAGGCCACCGCACAGTCAAGTCCAAGCCAAAAACTTAACTTAACAAAGCCTCCCTAGGCAGGCTGCAGCCGTGAGCCGTAACCCTAAGCCCTAAGCCGAAGCCTAAGCCTAAGCCGCCTAAGCCCTAAGTTGGGCCACTTAGCCTAAGTTCTTAATTCCTAAGTCCTAAGTCCTAAGCCTAAGGCAGCCTAAGCCAGCCTAAGCCCCTCAGGTCCCTAAGTAGTTCCTAAGCCTAAGTTGGCAGTCAGCCTAGCAGCAGCCTAAGTGCCTAAGTTGCCTAAGCCTGGCAACTGCCATGCACCTTCGCCTAAGCCGAAGTTGGCAGCCGATAAGCCTAAGCCGCAGCCTAAACCAGCTTAGGCCCTTCTACTTTTAAGTTTCTATTTCTAAGTAGTCTTTTAACTTAGAACTTCTAACTTCTAAGTTCTAAGCCGCTCAGCCTAAGCTTGAGCCCAAGCTTGCCAAAATGCCGGACCCCCCTAAACCCTGCCTAAAAGCCTCAAAGTATTTGGCCTAAACTGCCTAAACTGTTGAAGTTCCGCTGAAGTTTTGCAGGCCATGCCCCCGGTAGCAGACACGGAGCTGAAGGCCCTGGATGCTATTCTCAAAGAAGTCCTTGCTGTGCACGCTCCGGTGAGAGCGGCTGAGCAAAGCTCAGAGCTGGACATCGACACATTCGAGAAAGCTGTGAAGGGCATCCACCGGCTCACCACCATCGCAGCCTTGCAGGTGCTGGAGGAGCATAGCGTCATCATCGAAGACAGCGCAGGCAAGGCGCTCCTCATGGAACATCGGTCAGCGGACTCCACTTTGTAGCATCTAGTCAGGCGAGTCAGTGTAGTTCATAGCCTTTTTACTTTAGTACGCAGTATGCCACAGAATCCCCGGGACACAGTAGACAGTAGACAGTAGTAGACAGTAGACAGTAGACAGAAGACCATGATCCATGATCCATGGAACATAGCGTCAGAGTCAGAGTCAGAGAGTCAGCGTCAGACAGACTGGCTCGCTGTATAGACTCTAGAATCTAGACTGTAGACCATGGAATGTGGGTCGGTTTGACTCATTGGTGCGAGGCGAAGGGCAGAAGGCGCTACAGAAGTCGTACAACCAGTTGCTGCAGGCAGTGCTCACAGCCGTGCAGGCGGCAAAGGTGTTGGTTCCTCGTTGGCTTAAACAGCTCTTGACGAAGGACACGGCCATCAATGCTTCTGTGAAGACGCTCCTGGGCCAGGACGCGTCAGGGATGCTGAGCACCCATGCGATTCACAAAAAGTTGGTTTCCGACGCTGTGTATGCCGGCAAGTCGACGTGGACACAGGAGGCGAACTCGTTCATCTCGGCAGGCGTCTTGGACCTTGTGCAGGCGCTGACGGCGTCCCATGACGTGCTTCTGGACCTCGGCCTGGACCTGGAGGCATTCAAGGGTCAGTGTGAACTTCTGAAACAGGCGCTGCTGCAGACGCTCTGCGATTTCTACAACGACGCGCAGAATATCAAGGCCTCGCTGGACAACTTCCAGGCGATTTGCCCAGCAGCCTTCGCGTGCTTTGACAAGGTGGACTTCAAGCCAGAGTCGCTGGCCGATTTTGTCCAGCATGCTGATCCCACAGGGGAGGCCGCGACTAAGATGCAAAAAACCGTGCAGGACCTGAATGAAGGAGCCAAGTTTGCCAACCAGTACTCTAGAATTTACTGCTGCCATTATCAGCTGCGTCTGCGTTGCTGCTGCCTACCAGTTTCAGTTTCAAGGTTTGAAATTGTCAAAGTCAATTTGTCGAGTCGAGTCAGCCTCAGTCTCAGTGAGTCTCAGTCTCAGTCTGAGTCAGAGCGTGCGTCTGGGTCGTGAAGTATGCGTCGCGTCAGGAGCCAAATCTTTGGCAGGGTTGGAGAAGCGGGCCAAACTCGTGCATTCAGTTCGGAATGGGTTGCCCGACTACATCATTGAGAAGATTATGGAGCTCAAGACGACCTTGATGCAGCCGAATCAGCAAAAAAGGGCCTCCCACTCCGTCTTTGCCTTGTGCTCTGCAGAGCTTCTCTTGTGCACCCTTCCTGCGTGCCCCAATGCGGCCGTCGCCCAGAAGGCAGTGTCGAATCTGTACAAGCTTTGCGAAGAGCATGGCTCCAAGAAGGAGGAGCTCCCCAAGGCCATTCGAGACGTCCTCGACGCATCCTTGAAAGAGAAGCGCGGCGGTCAAGAGGATTCCAAGCGAGAGTTGATGCCACCTCCAGCTGTCCCCCCAGCAAAGAGGGCCAAAGTGGCTGCAGCTAAGCCGGGGCTCGGAGACTGAGTTGATTGAGGTGATGATCGTGACTCGTGACTGTTGTGCATCACTGAGTGAGTCATTGTGTGTTTGCGCGCAGTGCCTCCTTGATGTGCGTAATTCGAGCTTG